GAGCCTCAGTGATCCCTTCAGAGAGTGTCAGAGGGAGCGAGGAGAGGCAGCTACTTGGGCACAAGAAGCTGAGGATGAGAAGCACCTGCCATCCAGGTCAGCTTTGCCAGGGCTCTCAGAAGTCCCTAGGTACCCCCTCTCTTCACCGACAAACCAAATCTCAACAAGATTCTGACACCATGCAGGTGGGTGCTGGTGCAGGCAGGGCCAGCAGTAGGGGTGTACGGAAGGCCTGCTGTGCCCTGCAACAGGATCCCTTTCCCCTGGTCTCTTGCCAAGACACTGAGGAACGGCAGCAGGAGGGGCAATGGTCAAAGGGTGGGCGCTGCCACCCTGGTTCCTTTGGACCCAGCAGTTAGACAAAAACCGTAGCCTGTTAAGTTGTAAGTCGCTTCAGTGGGACTTTAGAGGGAGACCCCTGTCCTTACAGATGAGCCACCGGTGGTCCAGAGAGAGAAAGGCACTAACCCAGGCTCACTGGGAGGGTGAGGACCAGACCCGGATCCCCTCTTACCTGTCTGAAAGCACCTGGGTCACCTGAGCTGTCTGTCCCTGTCTCATGACCCAGAGCAAGAACCGCCTGGGTTCTCTGCTTCACTGGGGAGGCTCTCCAGCCTGCCGTGTTCATGGGAAACCTGATCCTGCCGCATTCTCAGGGACCTGGGCTTCCGTCTGGCCTCACCTTTCTCTTTATGGAAAAACTCCCCGGGTACATTGTTTCCCATGGCCAGGTGCTGCCTGCTCCAAGCACACGGGGTGACCTGCCATGGAAGGGATTGACCGACCTCTGAAAAAAGTGGCTGACTTCCAGGGACATGGAAGCCACCCAGCGGCTTCCTGTGGTGGAAGATATTCTGACCCAGACCACGTTCTCAGAGGAATTAGGGAGGCTCTCTCTTTGTCTCCTTCACCGGACCGCCCCCTCCCCTGCAAAGGAAAAGACCTCCACTCACCTAACTTCCACCTTCTCCCCAGCTCACTCCACACCTCCCCTTCCCTGCCTCGTGTGTGTCTGTATCTGTGTGTGTAGCTTTGTGGATCTGAGTATATGTCTGTGTGTGGGTGAGTTTGTAGATAAGAATCTGTGTGTTTGTGTCAGTGTGTGTAGATGAGAGAGAGGGAGGGAGATTTAGTAGGAGTCTGCTTGTATCTGTGTGTTTCTGGGAATATGCGTGAGTCTCTCTGTGTTAGTAGGAACTTTTTTTTTTTTTTTTTGAGATGGAGTCTTGCTCTGTTGCCCAGGCTGGCGTGCAGTGGCGCAATCTCAGCTCACTGCAAGCTCTGCCTCCCGGGTTCACGCCATTCTCCTGCCTCAGCCTCCTGAGTAGCTGGGACTACAGCTGCCCGCCACCACGCTCGGCTAATTTTTTGTATTTTTAGTAGAGACGGGGTTTCACCGTGTTAGCCAGGATGGTCTCGATCTCCTGACCTCGTGATCTGCCCACCTGGGCCTCCCAAAGTGCTGGGATTATAGGTGTGAGCCACCACGCCCGGCCTAGTAGGCACTTTGATGTGTCTGTGTCTGTGTGTATTTCAGGGTCAAGCGCTACAGCGAGGTGACTTTGACCTTCTCTTCCTCAGAGCCAGGGCCTGACCCTTCCCTTGGCCTCAGCCAGTCAGATTCTCCCTTTCCAGGCCATAGTGTGGCATTGTCATCTGTCAACTCTGCCTACACCTTGAAACTCACCCTTTGCACAGAGGGTATAATGGGGGCCATCTCAATTAGTGAATTTTTAGGAAAAGTTCTCACTTTGGGGTCCTTTGGCTGGACCTTTGGGGATTGAGAATGAATTCCAGGCACGTCTGTTAGGATTGCATTGGGTACAGGTAACAGAAAACCCACTTCGTATTGTAAGATAGCTTATTTCTCCTTGCAGAACAAGAAATACAAAGGGGGCCGTTTAGAAAGGGTGGTTCCCTCAGAGATCCAGGCCCTTTCTGCACGGCCCCCGGTCTTCTCCTGCAGTTTTCTTTGCCGGTCTGTGGTCTCCTCTGTGCCGTCACGCACATTTCAGAGGGCTGTTGCGAGGACCAAGGGATTCGACGCGTATGAGAGAGTGTGGATGTGCTAAGGAGTTTGCAGGAGTTGCGCGGGGCGGCTACCGCTGAAGAAGACTCTGCCTTGGGCAGACCCTTTAGGACCCTGATTGCCTCCCTTCCTAGAGCAATGATCTGCTGGTGTGGAAACACGAGTCAGCCTGCTGCCTCCATACGCCAGACAGATAGGGCAGATTCTTGCAAAATCTTAGGAGAGCGATTTGGAGTGATTTGGAAATGGTTTGGTCCTTTTGGAGGAGGAACACATTAGCAGCAAGCATCAGCTTGTGTTGAACCAAAGGGTGGGCCCTTAGGAAGCGCCTGCCGCACACAGCCGATACAGTGGTGCTGCCGTTACCCAGGACGGCCCTCACTCCGCCAGACCTCGGCCGGTGCCAGCCCAGGCAGCTGAGCAGGTCACCAGCTGTCAGGGGCCGTGGGGCAGAACAATGCACCATCCTGACTCCACCCAGAGTCCGCTCTGGGTCGGCCGCTGCCAAGATAAAGACCACCTGGGCCAATGGTGGTGTCCACGTGTGACGTGGCTCTGAACGTGCAGTGACCGAGCAAGTTTTGGTGACCTCCCTTCAGCCAAGTCCAAGGATTCAGAAGTTACTGGTCCACAGCTGTGTTCCATCAGCTCGGAGGGGAGAATGTCTTGGCATGAATCTTAGGATTACCAGCTGGCTAAGGGAGGTCAGCTGGCCTGAGCCCCTGATGCTCACGCCTTGCATCAGGGCCTTCGAAGGCGGTAGGAGCCTGTGCTGTGGCCCTTTGCGTTCGCACGGCCGACTTAGAGGCACTGCCTCCATCTCCCTTCCTACCACGGACGAATTGAAGAGGCCATAGGGAAAGGTCAGAGGCCGTCTCCAGCCTCCCCTTCTCCCCTCCTCCTCCTCTGCACGCCTCCATGGGCCGTCAAGGCTGAATCTTTTCTTACTGTTGAGTGAAAAAGACAACAGAGAATGAACTTGAATTTAGGGTACATCTAAGACGATTTCCTAGCAAAAGGCATGACTTCTGGCTGGGCATGGTGGCTCACGCCTGTAATCCCAGCACTTTGGGAGGCAGAGGCGGGCAGATCACCTGAGGTCAGGAGTTCGAGACCAGCCTGCCCAACGTAGTGAAACCCTGTCTCTACTGAAAATACAAAAAAATTAGCCAAATTAGCCGGGCGTAATGGTGGGCACCTGTAATCCCAGCTACTCGGGAAGCTGAGGCAGGTGAATCGTTTGAACCCAAGAGGTAGAGGTTGCAGTGAGCCGAGATCGTGCCATTGCACTCTAGCCTGGGCAACAAGAGTGAAAATCCATCTCAAAAGAAAAAAAAAAGAAGGCCTTCTATGAGAAGTAGTAGCGAGACTGGAGCAGTTCCATCTGCCTCACAGGCAGGGAGCCCTGTAGGCTGCCCCTGTGCCAGGGCCTGTGCCCCCACCCTCCTCCCACCTGACGGGGGCACCCCCAGTCCCAGAACCATCACTCCAAGTGATTCCAGGAGCTTTTGCATGTCCAAACACAAACTTCAACAAACAGTTCCTCACATTCTTCTCCTTTCCACTTTCTTCCCTCCCTCCTCTTCGTAATTATCCTCACTGGCCACTCCTGGGCCCGAGGCCAGCTGGGCTGGGAGAGGCCACGTTTTGAGCCACGGACTCCCGTGCTCACGCCCAGCAGTGCTTGCTGGGAAGTTCTAATCTGGCTCCTTTAAACTGCTCTCACCTGCGTTCTTGGTTTTTTTCCTCCTTTTGGAGGAGGAACACGTTAGCAGCCACCAGGGGACACCTGGAATTGCTGCAGGACGCCTTGCTGCAGACGACTCCCCACCTCCAGCCTCCTGGGCGGGGTGTGGCTAGGACATTTGCCTCCTTCCTTCGGTCTTCCCCTTCCCCACCGCTCTGAGGCCACCGCCTAGCTTCAGGGAGGCAGGACTTAGCAGGGAACGCTGGCGTCCTGTGCCTACAGGTATAGCTGTTCTATGCCCAGAGCATGTGTGTTGGCGGGACATCCTCCTGCGGTCCTGTGGCTACTCTCTTACTGGAACTGGCTCCTTAGGACACAGCGACAGAGCCTCCGTGAAGCATGACGGGGTGGGCAACCCTACCTCTCCACCCTTTCTAAGCCCAGGAGGAAGGTGGGGGGCCCTGCTCTGTGGAGCCGTAGTTGCTGGCCTGAGAATCCCAGCCTTGCTTCGCCTCCCAGCCTGGCTGTTCCCTTCCTGTGAGGCTCTGGGAGTTTCCTTTACCTCTCCCGTCTTTGTTTGCACATTTAATCAAGCCTTTAAACTAAACGATCACTGTGACCCTTTCTAGTGCTACAGTGTATGGTTTTTGTGATTGAGAAGACTGCCTTGGCTGCCTGACTGCAAAGCAGGGTCAGGGGTGGGGGGCAGCAGCTGGGGGAGCCTAATCTGGCTCCTTTAAACTGCTCTCACCTGCGTTCTTGGTTGAGAACCTGTGACTCCCTCTAACCTGGCAAACCCCAGAGCTTCATCAGGCCTCAAACCCCACTCCTCCCACGCCCTGGGTCGGCAAGAAAACTTGGGGGCGGGGAGCTGGTTGAGGACAGAGTGAAAACGCATAGGCTGACCCTGTCAAGGGAAGGTGTACCCTCACATCCTGACTCCTCCACCCAGGCGTGATCAGGGCTGCGGGCTCTGCCTTCCCCAGAAAGTATTTGAAAGCCTTCCTCCTGGGCTTCCAAAGGGCTCCCGCACTTCACTTTCCTGCTGCCAAAGCAGTCTCTTCAGGTCGGTCCATTTTAGTTTTCAGTCCCCGTTTCCAGGTAGGCGGGTGGCCAGTGTCAGAGCTTCCGGAGTGTGTTTGGGCTTGGCTGGGCCTGCTCTCCCTTGCTGCTCTTCCTCTAGGGCAGGGTCCATGGAGGCACCCCTGGGTAGGGAGGGCTCTGGGGGGGGATGCACTGGCCCCTTCCCCCTTGTCTGACCCTCCCATTTTGTGTTCTCTGCAGCCTGTGATTGCCACCCCGTGGGTGCCGCTGGCAAAACCTGCAACCAGACCACCGGCCAGTGTCCCTGTAAGGACGGCGTGACGGGTATCACTTGCAACCGCTGCGCCAAAGGCTACCAGCAGAGCCGCTCACCCATCGCCCCCTGCATAAGTATGTATAGGACACCAGCTTTTCAAGTCTCTGGCTTTGTGGGAGGACAGTGAGCTTTTGAGGATGCTGGTCACTGATGTTCAGTGGGTTCTTTTATTTTTGAGACGGAGTCTCACTCTGTCGCCCAGGCTGGAGTGCAGTGGCACGATCTCAGCTCACTGTAACCTCTGCCTCCTGGGTTCAAGTGATTCTCCTGCCTCAGCCTCCTGGATTCAAGTGATTCTCCTGCCTCAGCCTCCCGAGTTGCTGGAATTATAGGTGCATGCCTCCATGTCCCGCTTATTTTTGTCTTTATTTTAATAGAGTATGAGATTTCGCCATGTTGGCCAGGCTAGTCTTGAACTCCTGACCTCAGGTGATCCGCCCACCTTGGCCTCCCAAAGTGCTGGGATTGCAGGCATGAGCCACCGTGCCTGGCCCGTTCAGTGGGTTCTGTCGTCAGTGTGCATTCCTGCATTCACGGTCTCACGCTCATTGAGTCCACGTGGGAGACCCCCCGCAAGCTCATAGAAGTTCTTACAAAAGCCACTGGGGGCTCAGCAGAGCCAGCCCGTCTGAGGCTGTCTATCTGACAAACACTGAGTTTCCTGTTTCTGGGGGAAAGCAAGCCGCTGTCCTCAGCACTGGCCCCATTCTCACTGTCTACCTGGACCCTGGATCTGGGGTGGGTCCGTTCCAGGCGTGCTGCTGTCACTATTGCCGGAATGTCGGCATTCCCTCTGCCCCTGGTGGGTTCAGAACAGAAAGGACCGACAGCCCAGGGCCTTCGAGAGGAGCTAGGCAGGGCTTCCATGCACCGCACCTGTGGCCCTAATGAAGGATGATAGCAACCCTGCGGCGTTCCACACAGCTGTTCTCAGGGGCTCGCTAATAGCAAATGACCAGGATCCACGCCTCGGTAGAGGGGGCTCAGCACCCATCCAGGGCAGCGCAGGTTGAAATGGTTTCACGACAACCTCCAATTGTCAGCCTTACAGTTTGTCAGAATCCTTCTGTCCATCCACATTCTGCAAGGTGAACATTTTTAGACAGCTGGGAGGAGATCTGGGGTTCGGAAAACATGGCGGGGGTGGAAACTGAGGTCTTCTTCAGGGAGTTAGGCGTTCTCAGGTTGCTCAGAAATGGTTAGAACCAACATTTCAAATCCCCAAGTGGAAAAATCAAGCCTAGACATGAGAGCTGGTGTTTCTGAATCAGAGGCTGAACCCTTGGGAACTCACACTTCCCAGCCTGTGCCTTCTCCTCTCCTCTCACAAAGGGCGGGCTGATGCCTGGCGAGAGCATTGCTCCCTACCGGGCAACCTGGGGCTCCATCCTGGAATTTTCGCGTGCTCTTCCCAAGGGAAGAGCTACAGGTCCCAGACAGTGCCTGAGGGACTCGTGCCCTGTTTTGTCCCAGTTTGCGTAGCCATGGGCCCTGCATGGGCGTCCCAGAGCCAGGCCGACCTCAGGCGCTGAGGGTGGTGGTCACAGTGGCTCTGCGGCCATTGGCTTCGGCTCCATTTGTAGACTTGTGGGATTAGACTGGACCATTCAGATGTTGCCTCCGGGATGTTTCTGCTGGGACCAGGTGGCTTTTTAGGTCCAGCTTCCTAATCACCCATTGTGACAGGGCACCTATGGGTTGTTGTTGCTAATACAGTTGCCTGAGGTCAAGATTTGACCCCACATTGAGGGCTGTGTCCCCCACTTGTACTTCCTAAAGGAGCAGAGGATGCCTCCGGTGCCTCTCAGATTTGCCTCCCAGCCTGAGTAGGCCATGTCCCTCCACCAAGCCTCAAGTCCTAGCTCATCTAGAATCTGGGAGTCAGAGTTTTACTGCAGAGTCAGACGGTGGCTACAATCAGTGGGGTTCGTGGTCACTCACCAGGGGAAGTGAGTCCCTTCCTCTTAGGGACTTCTGGTCCATGGTTTGGCCTTGTCCAGAAAGAGGAAGCCTGAGCTTCAGTGCCAGGCTGCTGAACTGATGAACAGTGGGGACTGGATGAACCTCCTCTCCTTTCTTGAGCACAGGGTGGGGTCCGGCAGGTAGTAGGAACCAACTGCTTTTTAAATGTTTATTATTTTATATATACTTTTTGAGACGGGATCTTGCTCTGTTGCCCAGGCTGGAGTGCAGTGGTACCATCATAGCTCACTGCAACCTCAAACTCCTGGGCTCCAGGGATCCTCCTGCCTCAGCCTCCTGAGTGGCTGGGGCTACAGGTGCGTGCCACCACGCCTGGCTAATTTGTTTTATTTTTTGTAGAGGCAAAGTCTTGCTTTGTTGGCCAGGCTGGTTGCAAACTCCTGGTTTCAAGCCATCCTCCCACCCTGGGCCCCCAACGTGTTGAGATGACAGATGTGAGCCCCTGCACCTGGCCAAATTGCTGTATTAGATAGAGAATAATCAACACGAAGCACACAAGCTTTTATGAGGCCCTTGGATCTGCACTCTTGGTCCCATGCTGCCCACTAAGAAAATGCCTTAGCACCTGAGAGGTGAGGCCGCCGGAACCTGGGCCGTGCTGCCAACACTTCTCTGCATGTGGGAGAAACCTTTTCCTTTGGGCAGATTCCCAGCGCCTTGCGTGCCGTCCTGCCATGGCTCCTTCTCCACCTGTGAGTTGAGCTTAGAGATGAGCAGGGCCCAGTAGCCACATCACGATGAGGAGAGTGGCCTGGGGAAACCCCTCTCCACCCCTCCAGGGGTGGAGCTGAGTTGATGTCAGGCCCGGGGGTGGGGGCAAGGCCAGGCTCTGTGTTGCCGCCTCCCTCCTGCCTTCACGCCCCCCTGCTAGGCGAAAGGAGAAAAACACCACCTGCCCAGGATGCCGCTGCTGATTTCTGTTCCTCTGACTTTTCTTGAGCCAGGGAATGGGAAATGGAGGGGAGGGTCCCAGGAAGTTGGGAGGAGTCTGTGCTGGGCTCATTCTAAAGTCAAAAAATCATGTCGTCTTACCTTGTTTTCTCTCCACCATCCCCCTCCCCTCACTCCTGTCTTGAACCTCACAAAGAGATCCCCGTAGCGCCGCCGACGACCACAGCCAGCAGCGTGGAGGAGCCTGAAGGTAAACTGCCCCCTTCGCTTCTAATTTCCCACTCTTGCTGTGTGGCGGGGTGGTGGGGTGGGTTAACGGGGAAGGGGCGTTCAGAAGCCCAGACTCCTCTAACCGCTATCTGGGGTCTGCTCCGAATGACTGGCACCCCTGGGTTGCACTGAAGAAGCTGGAGCTACAGGACGCTATGTTGTGACTTTCCCTCTGAGAATCAAATGGAGGAGATTTTAATGGTGCCTCTCTCCCAAGCCTGGAACCCTAAAAACTGAGCTCCTTCTCTTTGTCCACCAGCTGCCCACCAGCCCAGCACCTTCCAAGCTGAGGGCCTGTCACTGCTTCTTGGGGCTGCAGAGAAGGAAGGAGCCAGGTGCTGGGGATACAGGAGGAGGCTTGGGCACAGGAGCACAGAAGCAGAATGCAGGGGGCCTGGGAGGTGGGCGTGGGGGAGAATCACATCTTCCTTTTCATTCGCGTCCAACTGAAAATTTAGCATTTCCTCCATGGCAAAGAGAGGCCGCAGACCGCAGCATGCGGCCGAGCCTGCACCTTGGTCACCAGCAGAGGTCACGGCGGTTTTCACATCACATTCTAGCTGCTGCAGATATCATAAATACTGTTCATGCTGGTTATTGCTTCTCAAAACGACAGAAGTTACTAGACCCGCTGCTAGATCCTGATTTATAATCGTTAATCAGGAAGCACTCGCGTAACGTAACCATACCATCCATCTGGTTCTTTCAAGATATTTGGGCAGCGGCATTTCAGAACTATGAATTTCCTTTGTAGACCTGTGTGTTTTATTTTAGCATGGAGAAATGTTTTTTTGAGGAAGGGTCCACAGGCTTCAACAGTCCTTGACACAAGAAGGGTTGCATAGCTCTGGCTTTGGGCACTCAGAGGGCACAGCCCTGCCGGATGCCCTGCTGAGAGCAGCCCAGGTCTGTACCCACAGTCCTGGTCCTGGGGTCACACAGGGCTTTTGTGTACTGGTCCTTGGGGTAAGAGGGCAGAAAGTGACAGGCACCCCAGCATGGACATTCATGCTGGCGCTGGGGACCCTTTCCCTCCCCCAGAAACGACTGTAGAGAGGTATGGGGGAGCTTGCAAACCCACGTGGCCGCCGGAGTATTTTAGGACACAGACTGGATTTTGGAGAGTATTGGCAGTGCACTGGAAACTTGAGAGAAGACAGACTCGGCACTTGTACAGGCATGGTCCACAAACAGCCAGCAAACAGGAAAGGACAGAAATGCATTTCAGGGAGTGCCAGAGGCAGCGCGGGGAAAGCCAGAGACAGTTCTGTCTTGCGTTGTTTGCAGAGCCTTCAGGGGCCTTTGGTGGAGCCCCACGCAGGGGAAATGGCGAAGAGAAGGGATTGAAGGAGGCGGCATGACAGGGAGACTAGATGACAGAGCCAAGGAGGAAGCTGTCTGTGTCACAGCACATTTCACAGGAACATCCTCAATTAGTTCAGCTCTAGGGGAGAGCAGTTTTGAAGGTAGAAGAGACTTAAATAGAACTTCGATTCTTGCTCTCCTTGATGTGACATTCGTCCTTGCCTAACTGAGACGTACCTGGACAAGATCTTAAGGCTGTGCACACTGCAGGGGATTGAGGCTTCTGAGCAGGGGCTGCGTCCACAGCTCATGCAAAAGCAAGACAGACCTTAAAGATCTCTATCTCCATTTCCGTCTCTGTCTCTCACTCCCCCCATTTCTCTAGTCCTTGTAGCTTGACTCTGGGTTTCTCACAAACCCTTGACTTTTTCCCTTCCAAGTCAGAAATGGGCAAATGGGGAAAGATGTGGAGGGGAGGGATGTCATGAGGTTTCCACATAGGCTGCAAGAAGCTGGTATAAAACGTCCAAGGTTCTTGGCTCCGCCAGACAAAAGATTCTGGAGCAGCTGCTTATAAATACTTGCAGCCTCCTCCTTTGAAATGTCGTCTTTGGGTTGTTTAACTTTTCAGACTGCTTGACTTTGTTACTGTTTATTTCCTTTCCTCATTCTGAACCTTTAAAAGTATGGTTTAAACTGAAGCGAGCAGTAAATAAACATCCTTATAAAGTATCTTCCTCAGAGGCTGAGTGAGCAGGTTTGGAAGCCTGGAGCAATGTTTGTAGCTTTGACCAGACCCGCGCTGCCCTACTCTGGGGGTCCTGGGATACCCAGGGTGTCTGTCCCAGAGAATGTTCCAGAGAACCGGAACCATCTCTGGGACAACAAGTGCTGGACCGTGGGGCCTCCCACCACAGAGAGGCCGGGCGTACCTTGTCTCAGCGGCTGAGACATTGCAGGCAGGAGGCCAGGAGGGCCCCCTGGGAAGCGGGGCCTGGGAGCTCAGCGCTCCCAAACCTGTCCACTCTTGCTGTGTTTGAACAGGGGAGGCCTCTGTGCGAGGCTGCCGGAGAAAAGCTTGTTTGCTTTTGCCTGCGTACCAGAGGAGAATTAATAAGCTGAGAATTTGTTGTGAAAGCTGATGGACATAACCTTCCCCTGAACTCATCCCCTTGAAGGGCCAGCTCACTCCCGGAATGTTCTTTACCTGCTCACAGAGCTAGCTGGTAAACCGTCATGGGCCAGGGAGACAAGGAACGTAGTGTCTGCGGGGCGGGGGGGGGGGTCTGCGGCGGGGGAGACCAGGAGGGAAACAAGGAGGAAGGAGAGAGGGACCACCCACTCAAGAAGGGCATGATGCCCAAAGCTCCCCCGGCACTCACCTATTTATTGGTTGTAGAGACCTCAGCACTCAAGGATAAAACAGACACCTGCCTTCCCTCCCCAACCCGTTCCCCACCTATCAGCTCAAGGGGAGTTCTTGATTTGCAAATTGTTCGGTTTTGTGGTGGCCACTTGGTTTGGTGGGAGGAGACTGGTGTGGAGCCAGGAGACCAGGGGTTTGCCCTTCACTGACTCTAAGAACTTGGACAATGCAATGGCGTCTCCTTTCTGCCTTCTGGAAGAACGAAGGGGCGGACCCAGTGCTCCACAGGCCCTTCCCTCCCTGGCTGGCTGTGGCAGGAGTGAGCTCCTCCTGCTGGGGTTTCCTCTTCAGAAGTGCCTGCTTGTTCTGGGTCCGCCCCCGAGGGTCCACTTCTCCCACATCCCAGGCAGAGGCCTGTGTGTGGGTGGAGGTGCTGGTAAATATTTAGCAACTGCCTGGGGCGGGGGGTGGGGCCAATGTGTAGCATCTGCCACTTCCCTTGGTGTCAATATTCCCTCCCTGGCCGGTTTCTGGCTACCCAATGAGATGTCATTGAATGTGAAATTGGGAGAGGTGCATGATTGGCCCTCAGAGCCTATGGCAGCCAATTCCACCTCCCCACTGCCCATGGGCCTTGCAGCAGAAACACAGCAAAGAGGTCCAGAGGCAGGAAGGGCTGCCTGTGCTGGCCTCCTTGGTTTGAGGGATCACAGCTGCCTTTGAGTGGGAGCTGGACCCAGGGCTCTGGGGGTACAGGAGCATGGAGCTGGCCAACTTCTGAGCTCCCTCCACCTCCCATCAGGGATCCCAGGTCCTCTCTCCCAACCCTGTCTTCTGGAGGTACTCACCCCATCGGGGCCTTACCTGGTGCCTTTGGCTAACTGCCTCAGCCGTCCCAGCCTGGGGTGGGCGTGGCTACCATGGGCACCCTTGCATATTACCTTAATGGTAGTCTGAAGGGAAAACACCGCAGAGCCTGGCAGCCAAACCGCTCTGAGACGCTCAGCACTCAGGTGCTACCAGGCCTGTGTGGTGGGGGTGGGGGTTGACATTAGAGAAGTCACATCCGGTGGCCTCTTGACTTCATGGAAGGAAGTTGGGTTTATGTAGACCTGCAACCTGGATAAGCACGGATTATTCTCTTGTTTAGGTTTTTGTTTACCAGGATAGGGAATCAGTTGGGTGAATACAGGAAAATGAGCTAATGAGACTTGACTGCGGTATTGACAAGGGGTTGTGGGGAGGGAGAAGAGGGAGAAAAGGGCACTAAAATGGGAGGCTGAGACCTGAGGGCTGCTTGATCCCTCTCTCGGATTCTTCGTCTGTGAAATGGGGTAATCGCAACCCTGCCACTAGGGCTGTTGTGAGGATTAAATGGGATGATCTCAGTAAAGCCTGTGACTCAGTGGAGGGCCTGTTCAAAGTGCTCAATTAAGAAAAACCAGTAAATTGACATGAAAAATACAAATGCCATGGTATAATGAGGGGTTGAGCCAGCTTCTCCATCCAGAAAGGTGGGATTGGGGTGGGAGTTGCTGGCGTGAGGACAGGTGTGGAGAGTCAGCTTGGTTGGCTTTTGAAGACCTCAGGAAGTCACAAGTTGGACTGCCCAAGGCAGGGAGCAACTGAGGGAGCCACATGGTGGGCTCATCAGAGCCTTCTAGCAGCTCATGGTAGAGCCTGAACCAAGCAGAGAGGTAAGAACTAGAAACCAGTTAAAGGTCAAGAGCTTGACTTCATGATAGCCAAAAGGTGGGAACAGCCCACCTGTCCGTCGTCAGATGAACAGATACACAGAATGTGGCATATCTATACAGGGACTATTTAGCCATAAGAAGAAATGAATGGCCAGGTGCGGTGGCTCACACCCATAATCCCACCACTTTGGGAGGCTAAGGCGGATGGATTGCTTGAGCCTAGGAGTTTGAGACCAGCCTGGACAAAATACTGAAACCTCATCTCACAAAAAAAAAAAAAAAAAAAAAAAAAAAAACCAGGCATGGTGATGTACGCCTGTAGTCCCAGCTACTCAGGAGGCTGAGGTGGGAGGATCACCTGAGCCCAGGAGGTTGAGGCTGCAGTGAGCCGTGATTGCACCACTGCACTCCAGCCTGGGTGACAGATCAAGACCATGTCTCAAAAAAAAAATGAAGTTCTGACATGTGCTACAACACGGAAGAACCTTGAAAACATCATGCTGATTGAAATAAGCCAGACCCAAAGGCTGCATATCATGATTCCGTGTATCTGAAATGTCTAGCATAAGCAAATCCAGAGACAGAAAGCAGATTAGGGGTTGCTAGGGACTG